GTACATAGCAGTAAGCGAAGCATCAAAGGAGGCTATATGGTTGAAGAACTTCATCAGAGACCTTGGAGTTGTGCCAGCCATAAAGAAGCCAATGATGATTTGCTGTGATAATGAAGGAGCGGTTACCTTGACAAAGAAACCGAGAGATCATGGCAGATCAATACATATCGACAGAAAATACCATTTTACCAGACATAGAGTAGAAGAAGGACACCATGTCATGAAGAGGGAATCATCAGAAGAGAATCCTGCAGATCCCCTCATAAAAGGGTCTGAGTAGGATTACACACGTTCAGCATGCAAGGAGCATTGGTCTGAAAGATGATATTAGTTTTAGTAGTTAGATAGGTATTTAGAAACTCGTAACAAAGTAAATGTAATTGACTCTTGATGATTAAATAATGGAGATCTACTTGTAAAGTCAACCCTAGTCAACCAAAATCAAACTTGGGTCAACTAAAGTCCTCTTTATTGTTTGGATTTTTATTAAGGTTAGAATAATAACCTTTGCATGTTAAAACCCTAAGAATATTAGGTGTTTAAGAAGGGAATAAGTGGATCCGAGAAACTTCGCACCACCTTTCTTCTCCTTTCCCTTCGTACCGCAAACCTCGCAACCGTGAACAGTGAACCGCCTTTGGACCGTGAACCACTTCGGACCATGAACCCCTTCCATATATATATATATATATATATATATATATATATATATATATATATATATATATATATATATATATATATTTCGGCTGATTTTACTTCATTTCTACACTTTCAAATGAAAATCCAACCCTTTTCTCTCAAGTATCATCAGCCAAGAACATCCTCTCTCCTCAAGAACATGCTAAACTTATCCTTTCTCATCATATTCACACAATAATCACTAGTTCTTCATAGGATCTAACAGGTATCATTTCTTGATCTCGTTATCATTTCAAAAACATCCTTCAATCTTCTTATACTAGACTGAAACACGTTAATTTCACTAGTTTTCACGAAGAACATGTGAAGAACACCCGCCCGAAAACCTTTGAATCTTCTTAGAAACTTGCTTAGGATCTTCAGGTGTTCTTCATTCATCAAGAACACTGGGCCGTGAACACCCACTGGGTCGTGAACCCTTCTTGAGCCGTGAACACATATAAGCCTTCTAATTTCGATTCTAACACTTCTTTGGTAAGTGTTTCTTACACCATAGGTTGTTTCCTATACACCTTTATGATTATGAACACTAAATGAATACATATTTATATCATAATATGCTAAACAGGACTCGTTTGTGCTACGAGATTTCACTTGTGGAAATAAACGTCCTATATCAATAATCAATCGTAGAACTCACAAAAGGTGAGTTCATACCCCCGTAATTTCATAGTTTTTACAGTTTTAAGGGGGGGAATACAAGTCTAACACAAGGATTTTGTGTTACCAACAAATAGTTTCAAAATATCTCACAAAATGGATTTCAACTATCTTCAAATTAAATGGTTTCCAATTGTGTTAAAATGACATCAAGTCACTAAAAGTATTTCAAAATGTTAAACTCTTTAAAATATGTTATAAACTTATATTTTTCCCCAAAAATCATATATATATATATATATATATATATATATATATATATATATATATATATATATAACATTTAAAGGGCTTCGGATTGATAACTCACTTTATTTCCTTTTCCTTGTTTGGATGTGGACTTACGGTATCAGTTATTTGTCCGAATAAAGTTTAAATTTTAGTTATATATATTTGTATATGTATATAAATATAAAGGTTATTTCATTCAGTTTCATTACCCTTTGTAACATGTCGAGCAAGGGGTTGCATTCATGAGCAGTTAGTATCAATACAGAAAGCACATATAAATTATAATAGGTATAATTTATGATTCAAGAACACTAACTCACGAGTCAAGTATACTAGAGTATACTATTATAACATGGGTTTGCACTAGTTTACAAGAACAAGGGTTTGATTCAAAACTAAACAAGGGTATATAACTTACAAATACACTTCAAAGTATACTAAACAAGGAGCATACTATCAATCATTTATTTCAGAATGATTGGGTTTTCATTACTATTATACACGTAACGCCTATATGCTTTTTATGAGACAATAGATTCAGGTTGTTTATTCATTTAAACAACATAGTTAAAGTCCTGAAATTATAACCAGAATCTCCAGTCGGGGATCGAAACAAATATGTATAGATCTATATTGGGATTGACAACCCCGCACTCAGATTGCTAGCTACAGCCGGGCATACACGCCTACGAGTGACAATTGTTATCAACAGGTTTGACTCCTTCAAAGCGTTGTTTCAGGCCATCTAGTCATAGTATGGTTATAATAACTCATTAAAAAGATATTAACAATACGATTAGTGTAGAATTAACTAAACATGAGTACATTTTCAAAGTACTAATTTATAAAGATATAATTTACAGTATTACATTACAGTTTACAATAACAGCTGGTGGAGCCATGCACACTCACTTTTACACGTTATACTAAGGAATACAAATACAGAACACTGGTTTACAAATAGAATGTTTTTATGAGATTAAAACTACTTTCATATACAACAGAAAATATAGGATTTTCTGGAATAGTTTACATATTCAAAGAACAGAAAACATACTTTCAAACATAAATACTTATTCACTCACTCAACTTTATGTTGATACTCTCTTTTCAAATTACTTGTATTCTTAGGGAATCAGTAGACAGGTACTCCCCGAGCTTTTGAGAAGACGGAGCCGTTTTGAGGCATGTCTTCTTTCTTTTGCTATAATTATTTTGGTGTCAATATACAGTGATTGAACACATGTAAAAAAATTATACTTATTAATGCAATGGTTGTTTGTACTTTGATTACTATAATCCATGTGTTGTGATACTACAAATGAAGTCATCCACCCCCGGACGTTTCCGCCATCTGGTTTGGGGGTGTGACAGTTTACAAATCAATTGTGCATTGATGATATGTAAACGCATCATTAACTTGATGTTATAAAATGTATTGTTGTGGATGATTTGGTGAGTAAATAACACAAGTATATAAGTCAAAGTTTATATGATCCTTTTGGCCTAACGGGAAAAGCGATATCTTCGGCCCTCGATGATTTGGTGTTGACTTATAGTGTCGGGCCTGACCATGATTAAATTGATGTGTTCGATTAGTAGTTCTTTGTCATTACAAATCAGAAATCGGGAAACAAAGTATTGGACAATGAGATTGATTCTATTCCATGTCAATTATCCACATGATATCTTGCAGAACGGAGGATTATATGATTACTTATCTTAGGACAGATGACTGACTAGGTCAGAGTTTGACAGCGGCTTTGAGTGCTACAATTTGCTAATCAATTTAGATGTTATACTGGAAACTATAGTTATTAGACTTATCCAAGTGGGAGACTGTTAGATTAGGTGTCTAAGCCCATAACTATAATTGGTATATACTTGAATTGATAGTAGCATAGTTCTTTTGGGTTGCCCTCAAAACTAGCAACAAGACAAGATGACTTTTGGAGAGAGAGAGAGGTTGAATTTATTATTTGATTAATAAATTGAAATAAATAATTTTTTAATTTATTATGAGAATAATATATTAATTAGAAATAGTAATATTTAATTAATATTTAATCAGAAATTAATTGGAATTAATTTTGGGATTAAAAGAATTAAGTAAAAGTGTAGGGGCTAAAGTGTAATTGTTAAATAGTTGAGTAAGAGGTTCCACAACCGTCCTAGAGAAGGAGGTGGACGGTTTCTATATGGATAATCTAGGATTTCTAGATTATCCCATGTGAATAAATAAGGAGCTAGATAATTACTGATTTGAAATATTAAATATTATATTCAGATTAGGGTTATCCAGGACATCCAAGCTGCACTTTAAATAGGTCTCTAACCCTTATGATTTTCGGCCACTCGAAACCCTAGAAGAATAGCCGAAATTCTTAAGCCTCTTCTCCTCTCTCCTCTCTCCTCTCTCATCCTCTTGCTAGTGTTGGGTGTGATCTACTAGAGGCACGACACTTGTGGTGCTTGCTCTTGAAGCTTCAACAACACCAAGGATTTGTATTGTTATTGCTATATAACAATTAAGGTATGTTTTCTTAACACTTATTAGTGATTTCGAAAATATACTAGTAGTCTTATGGTTTTCCATTTGATGTTCAAAAGTTGTATGTTCAATTAGAGAGAATATAGATCAAGAATTAGGGTTGCATGCACACATAGGTTTTTGTTTGTTATGCTCAAAACCATCACTAATTTTAACGCCAAAATTCGTCTCTTCAGACGTAGTTGTAGCTAGCAACTCACAGTCGGGCAGTCGAACCATATAAGGTTAATAAAATGACACTTATACTTGCCGTTAGTCGTTCTCTAAGGATTAATGGTTATAACCGGGAAGGTTTTTGGCAAGAAAGTTTTCCGTTTTGGATTTACCCTATAACATGGTTCATCTTGGGATACCCGGATGTGGTATGTTCTAACGGTGGACGTAGGTATCCTAGCTCTGACATTTGTTGTTATTATTTTACTAAAATATTATAATTGTTTGTCGTTTAGGGTAGCGACATTCGGTAATGCCAATAACTTCTGGAATTAATATATTTGTAGTATTTCCATGTCGCATTATTATGGTGACTACTTATAATAAATTTCTTATCCGACTTTACTTGAAACTCACGATCTTAATATGATTTAATTTTCACCAACGTATTAATAAGACATTTTTTTTAGATAAATGACCTTAATTACGATTATCACCGAGTTTTTATTTCAACAACGCCTTTATACCGTTATGGATCAAATTTACATTAACCCATTTTAGTCACGTTTGTGTGTATATATATGAATGAAAAAGTGAATATACCTTTAAGGGTATACAGCTTAGGTACCAAAAAATATATAACTACATCATTTTGTTTTTCATAACAGATTCCTTTAAAAAAATGCAATTTTCTTAAAAAGATCTGCTTCCCGCTCACTGTTGCTTCGACTGCTTTGTGCTTCGACTGCTTCCATAAATTCTGTTGATTTCCTATCTACTAACCCTTATACGATTTCTTATGGTTCGTATTTGAAAGTTATTTACAATTGTTTCCACTCCCAATCCCACTTTCCAAACTACCCAAAGCGAAATATCTTCTCTCTTCAAACCCAATTCCATCAACGTTTGTTTCCCCGCACGTATTGTAAAGCAATTACATTCATAAAACATATAACAACCAAAAACTGGAGTCTTGCAGCCACTGTCTTTCCACAGAGCTTGTCCATCAAGATTGGGAGGATGCTCACGCAGTATTCAAGCCTAAAGATCAAAGTCAAAGCAGGGAAACACAGAACACCCACCAGATGTTCGATTAAATGCCTTAGTGAAAGCATAGACTATTTTAACCCCCAATTGCAGGAAGTGAATTTTGAACTTGATCTTTCTAAGGATATAACCCAAGTTGCCTTATCTGTTACTTATGTTTTAAGCCCCACCCATTTCTTTCTCTCACATGCTAACGTGTTGAGTTTGGCTATAATTAAAAGTGCAGAAGTAGCATATAATACGCACGTGAGCTTTGAAGATGAAGAATCCCCAGAAGCTTTGCAGAAAGTTCAAGGATGCTTCACCGGAAGAACTCAGAGCTAGGCTTGCCGAGTTTGCTAAAGTAAGGAACTGGGATGAGTACCACAACCCAAGAAATCTCCTCTTAGCTTTGGTAATTAGTTACAAATTCTAATCGATATCATATGTATTCAATTATCTTAAATAAGTTTTAACCATTTTAGCAAGTATATTACATGAAAAAGATTAGATGATTAGTGATTCTAATGGATTGATGGCTGGTAGGGGAAGTGGGATCAATACCACAGCCCAAGAAATCTATGATGTTTTGATGTATCTATTTCAGCTTGCTGATGTTTGTGGCCTTGATCTTGGCCAAGCTTCTCTATCCAAGATTGTCAATAATGCCCCGAAATACCCTATTCTTGATTAGTTTTGCATGGTCCTTTAATATTATTTTCATATGATGGACCAAGATATATGAAATTAATGGGGCCTAGAAGGGAGAATTGAGAAAAGGGTATGAGAGAATATATAATCACACCTGTTGTTGATGTCAAATTATACTTTAAATTAGGCAATATTAATATCTTAAATTAACATTTTAATATTGATATTCATTTTGTGTAGTGGCTACTCACTTGACGGGGATATATAGTGTTATAAAGATTCTCAATAGCAGAATCCGTGTGCTTCATCAGTATTTATTGTTATTGAGATTCTTTGTTGGACAATTGATGGGAATACTTGAAGCATTGGAAGAATTGTAGGAACTATAGAAAAAGCTTGGGTTGTTGTATAGTGAATGGACCATGTATATGTTGAGAGAAAATGTATAAAACAAAAGTATTATTTTTTTTGGTGTAAGCTGAAATAGCAACTCGCTTTTCATATTAATCCGATATAGAAATGTACTTATCATTTTTAATCAAAATTGGCAATTGAGATTCTTCGCATTTGGTCATATTGTTTATCTTGAACTTCTGTATCCTTAAGTTCTTGAGGATTACATACCATCTTTACCATCTTTGGGACAGGGGAAAATCCGTCTAACAAAGTGAAAAACCATCAAACTTTTGTTTAGATTAACACAAAACTTAACAAAATCATGGAAATTGACAACTTACATTTTTAACCCAAAAATTGCAGAAAAGATGCATTTTTAACCCAAAATGACAGCCTACTTTCATTTTTAATCCAAAATTGCAAAAAAAATTTGGATTTTCAACCCAAAATGACAGCCAACTTTCATTGTTAACCCATAATTGTAGAAAAATTTCATTCATAACCCAAATTGACAACCAACTTTAATTTTTAAACTATAATAACAGAAAATTTGCATTTTTAACCCAAATTGCAGAAAAAGTTGCATTTTCAACCCTAAATTACAAACCAACTTTCATTTTTAACGTACAATTGTAGAAGAATTTCATTTTTAACCCAAAATGACAGCCAACTTTAATTTTTAACCTATAATAACATAAAAGTTGCATTTTTAAGCCAAATTGCAGAAAAAGTTGCATTTTCAACCCTAAATTACAACCAACTTTCATTTTTAACATATAACTGTAGAAAAATTGCATTTTTCACCAAAAATGACAGCCAACTTTAATTTTTAACCAATAATAACAGAATAGTTGCATTTTTAACCCAAATTGCAGAAAAAGTTGCATTTTCAACCCTAAATTACAACAAACTTTCATTTCTAATGTATAATTGTAGAAAAAATTGCATTTTTAACCCAAAATGACAGCCAACTTTAATTTTTAACCAATAATAATGGAAAAGTTGCATTTTTAACCCAAATTGCTAGAAAAAGTTGCATTTTCAACCCTAAGTTACAACCAACTTTCATTTTAAACGTATAATTGCAGAAAAATTGCATTTTTTTTACCCAAAATGACAACCTACTTTTATTTCTAACCTATAATTACAAAAAAGTTGCAATTTTAACCCAAAATGGTATCAAACTTTAATTTTTAACCTAAAATGGGATAATACTTTCGTTTGAAACACATAGGGGCAACAAAATTTCACTTATAAACACAAATCATTAAACAATCAAAAATTTTCATTCAATAAATTTAAAAATTGGTAAGAAACATCAATCACTTCTAGATTATTCACACATCAACTGTGTCCAAAACATGAAAAAGTAAGGTTGACCAAAAAAAATGTTAACAATCATCTTTTTTTTTTTTGCTTACAAAAACAACACATGGCATCATTATTTCTCTTGCAACGATTCATCTTCCTGATACATGAAAAAATAAAAAATTGTTAATATAAATATCAGAGTTCTAAATCATGAAAATTAAATTAGTATTATAAGTACCTTTCTTTTTGAACAACTAGTAGCATAATGACCCAATCTTTGATAGTAAAAGCATATACGTTTTTTGGGGGCTTCTAAAGATTACTTGATTCTACTAGCAATTTTAGGACGCCCTTTTGTAGTAGTTGGACCAAGAGGATCACAGACAGATAAATATGGTGTCATATCTATTTCTGAAACTCTCATACAAGAACCTTAAGGTGCATTCTCCAAAGACATATATTTCTTTCGATTTTCCTGATCATCTAAAAGACTTATCAATATCGTATTGAGTTTTTGTATCTCCAAAGGGGAATCCCTTTATTGTTCATTTACTTTAGTAAAATTTGAACGGACACAAAATAATGTGTAGGAACTAACTCCATTTTCATTATTTATTTCTTCGAGTCTGATACTAACACTACCCAGTTTGTACCTAGCATCAAGGGTCCATCGCGGTAAAATATAGTGACTCAGTAGTTCTTGAACATGCTTCTTCTTCATCATATATAAGCTATGCTTGCATACAATCCCATTTGTCTCACACACAGAACATGGACATGTGACACTGACTTGATTTAAAGAACGAAAGGTAACAATACGCCAATATTTTTTATCAACATCCAATTGCCCAACTATATATGTGCTTTCTTCTTTAGTTTTTCATAGAATCTCGTGAGTCAAAATGGTAATAGCTTCGGTCCATTCATTTTTGAAAGTATCAAACATCTTTCTAGTATAACATTGACCTGCTTTTGCTTCGATTGGATGCACTGAAGAAAGAACCAGCCTCGAGTTTATAGTCTGGAAGTCTTCATGTTCTTCAGCAGTCCTTCGAGACTCAACTGCTTTGCTGTATTGTACAACGAATTCATTCAACATGGTCCTCGAGTTAACAAATCCATCAAAAAATGAATTTATACTCTCACTTCGTCCGGTTGTGTTCATACCAGCAAAGAAATTATCCTTCAAGAAGGGTTTAGCCAAATGTATACATTGATTATACATGTCACTAATCCAACAATTACTTTCCAGTTCATACTTTATACACATATCTTCCCACGTTGCTTCAAAATTTTCAATGGTGTCACTATTTACTCATTGTATGTGCGTTTCTTGTAAATCACTATAATGGGCCACATACGATCGAAGGTGCTCAGTTTCATGCTTCCTGATATGCCATGAACAAAAGTGATGTCGATTCTTTGGAAAAACTTTTTTTTATTGAATTGCCCATAGCTTTGTCTTGATCAGTAATAATTGCCTTCGGATACTTGTCAAACATACATTTGAGGAAATGTTCAAATAACCATGCAAATGTCTCTTCCTTTTCGTTTTCAAGCAATGCTCCACCAAAAAGTATAAATTGCCCATGATGATTCACCCCAGTAAAGGGAGGAAAAGGCAAATTGAATTTGTTAGTCATATAAGTGACATCAAACACAACAACATCTCTGAATTTTGTTTAGGCATCTCTTGATTTACCATCAACCCGAAATATATTTCTAGGATACCCATCATTAGACAAATCCACGACAAAATACTGGTCACTATCAACTAATGTCTTATCTTGAAAATGTTTTATAAGTTCATAGAACTCCTTTCCTCTATGTTGTTTTCGATCCTCAGATAAGACATCAACACATTGTTTTGAAGTTACATCAGCTACATTTGAGGTTTTCATTGTATTAACGGCCTTTTCTGAGAAAGTTTCAACTCTGCTTGACCAAATTACACCATAAGAGATTTACCTTCTATTGAACGGTGGAGATTGCTATGAGATTGATGCTTCATCACCTTCATAGGTGTCATGGTCAGTCGTGATTGTGTGTGTCATTAAACGAGTCCACCCACCATTTCTCATCCTCTTGTCTTTATATTCGAAGCTTTGCTTGAAATCCAGTTCTAACATCTCTACGATGTTTTTTTCTCATTTTCACTTGAAGCATTTTTTTTCCATTCGTTTGAAACCTTCTTTGTTGCATACATATATCTTCCGAAAAGTCTTATTTGTTTTCAGATTTTTAATTGTGTCATCTCTAAGTATATCAAAGCCATGAAAAAATGAATAATCATTATAAAATGTATAGGCATCATCGGGTGTATCAAAAACTTTTTCTAGTATCCTTTCATCATTAACTTCATCTCCATCAAATTCAATGTTCACATCTATAATGTTTATTTTTTCGCATTCATTTGTTGCTTCCACGTAATCATTTGTGTCAATATCTTCAGTTATATATGGTTATATAGCTTGATTAGTTGCTTTGGCTTCACTCATTATGGCCTGCAATAGACAATGATGCATATTTCCAAATAAAAGATTAACACCAAATTGTTTTATATTGAATATAATGAAAACATTATACCTAAAAAAACACAATAACAGCCAATGACAATGTCTAAAAACAACAATGTCACTATTAAAATCCCGTAAAAAATAAAGATTCATCAGGTAATAAAGGACACTGTAATCAGTAATATCGAATATTAAATTCTGAAAAAAAAAACTTTCATAATCATATGAATGTCAGTTTTAGAAAAAGTACTAGGAAGTACTCTTAACCAAAACATGGGGGATTTGTAGTTTTTGAAGAAGGTATGATCGATTTCTATGAATTCATGTGAATTGCAATTTTTATGGATTCTTGTGAATTGTGATTTTTATGGATTCTTGTGAATTGCGATTTGTTTGATTTACCTGAATTGGCTTATGTGATTTTATTGATATCGTTTATGTTGATTGCGACTATGAAGTCGTTTTTTTGTTGAATTTCGATATCTTTCACAGCAAGCGGCGATTATATTAAATCGTTTTTTCAAGGAACTTAGGAGTTCTAATTTTTCACAACGATTATCAAGGAATGATAAGGAATGTAACGAAAGGAATTTTTTTCAGAACGACATATCAGTAACGATTAAGGAAACATATTTTTTAAGGAATTTTTGTTTTTTTTTCAGAAAAATAAACCATTAATCAAAACTACGTACTTTTGAGCATGTGGTACTAAACTTATATACTCTTAAGGGTATATTCACTTTTCCCATATATATATATATATATATATATATATATATATATATATATATATATATATATATATATATATACTTTGTAT